GCCTGTTGTCCCCATGTGTCCTCCCAGTGCTGGCCTGGCACCTCGCTCTGCCTCTGCCATCCACCAGTCCTGGCACCCTGCATGCTGCTCTTCACTGATGGTGAGTTCCCAGATCTGCCAAAGGGTGGTTTGGCAGGATGGGTGGCTGGCACGAGGTGATGCTAAGCACTGGGAGGAGATGGCTATGGGCTGCAGGCATGCCAGGAAATGTGTCACTATTGTAGAGGGATGTGTGTGTAGCGATCTCTGATTAAGTTATTGCACCTTCTGCTTCTGAGAGCCAGCTCCCAGTGGAGAGGTAAGACACATCCTGCCATGATATCTGCCGCTCTCCCCAGTGCAAGTACTTCAGTATATCCTTCTTTCCTGCAAGATAGGGGCATGGCTTCTCCTGGCCCCAGACACCCCCAAGTTGTGTATTCACTGCTCCACCCTCAACTTTCTAGTGAAAACACTCAGAGTTGGTGAGTCTGTGGCTGTCCCACACTGAGTTGTGCATTACTGCTCTTAGAGCATGGGTACTCACCCGATTGCGTGCTTTCTGACAGTATGTACATCCAGGAGCAGAGGAAAAGTTGAACTGTGAGCTCTGCCCCAAGCAAGAGTGTGAAAGGATGATGCCTCTTTCCCTCTGTCCATGCAGAGCAGCAGCACACAAGGCAGGACAAGGTAAGAAGCAACGATGGGCATGAAAGGCAAGAGGGAAATACAGCTAAATACCTTTAGGAAAAACAGCTTGTGCTTTCCTTAAAATAATAATAATAAAGTAAAAAAAAAAGGTAAACAACATATTTTAGTATTACTTCTGATGACATGCATTTTCACCTCCTGAAGGAAACTTACCAGCTGGACTTTGAAGGAAAGGGAAAGCCTTTGGCTGCAGCCTCTTTGCCTTTCTTTAAGTCATACCTCTAAGCTGCCTCAAGCCCAGGTTTGGTCTCTCACCACCTGTTTTTCTAGGGTAGGTTATGCCACAGGTGCACTGAAAGCAGGATAATGAAGGTTCAGGGCAGTATGGCTCACTCATGATAAATCACGCTGTCATGCACCTTTGCACAGAAACCAGGAAGTTTTTCTTTTTTGGGTGCACCAAGGTCTTAAGGAGGAAATTGTTGCAACACAGACTCTGAGTCTGCTGCAGATAATTATATCTGTTTGTCCTCTGAGGCAATCTCCTCACTCCTTCACAGCTCATCTGGAGCCACTGCTTTCCACATGCCCTTGTCTCCATCGCAGGCTGCACCTGGAGCCCTGCAGGGGTGGGAGAGGTAAGCATAGGGCTGGGGCTCCATTGTGCCCCGCAGCACAATCAGCATCCAGCAGCAGACACCCAGCGCCAGCCCGGTGCAGGGCAGCTTTTGGGAAACCCCAATCCATGTGTGCCCAAGCATAGGCTGGGTGAGGCCTTTGGGAAGTGACAAGCGGTGGCACAGCCTTGCCCTGGCAATGTCTCTCCGGCACTGCCTTGCTGCTTTCCATCTGCGCCTTCATCTCTGTTTGGCAGTGCACATTTTGCACAGTAGCAGAACATTGCCTGCTTGTAAGAAAAGCAGATACCAGTGTTTTCTCACCCACCAACAGAGAGCATTCCAGATTTAACCTGAATGGTGTTCTGCATCCTACTTATTCAATCATGTAAGCCTATTTTACCTTCAGTACGAAAGCAGGAAAGAGGCAGACAAAGGATTTTTCACTTCAGAAAGAGGAAATACCAAAGAGAGTTCCCCAGAGACAACTTGCAGGTGAACTTGGTAATTAAAAAATTAGAGCAGAAGTATGAATCAATACACCCAGACAAACAGCTGTGACTGCATCTCAATGTTTCAGACAGGCAATCCATCGAGTTTGGCCACTCTGACACTCCTGAAAACTAGTGCAAATAAAGGCATTAGGCCGAGACACATAAAACCTGAGGATGATACTGTCAGTGCAGAGCTAGGCTCAGAGTGATGAACATGGGGATGCTGGATCCCTCAGCCTCTTGCTACGCAATGTGTTGTCATCCATTAAAACCATGCTTCGAGCTATGATGCAGGACTGAAAAACTGCCCCCCAAAAATCCTTACTTAAATGCCTGTTCCTCAAGCAGCATGCTGCCTTCTGGCATTTCAAGTTTGTTGTCATGGGAATGGGTGTCAGGGTGATCAGGTCCAGCCTGAGATTTCATGCTTACCCCCTAAAGGTATAAGAAATAAACTCTTTACTCAGAGGGCATTGAGACCCTGGCACAGCTGCCCAGAGAAGCTGTGGTGCCCCATCTCTGGAGGTGCTCAAGGCCAAGTTGGATGAAGCCTTGGGCAGCCTGAGCTGGGGGGGAGGGCAGCCCTGCTCATGGCTGGGGACTCAGACCGGATGGTGCCTTGAAAGATCCTTTCCAACACAAAACACCCATTGGTTCCATAATTTTGAGTGGGGTGTTTCTGCTATTCTCACAGGGTCAGATGTACCCCACATCCATCAGCTCACATATTGCCATGTCTGCAACACCCAGGACACCTACATGAGGCCAGGCTAGGCTTTTGGCTGGTGCCCTGCCTACTGCAGGATGGAGCAACAGAGCTGGTGGCAGAGAGCAACAAACAAGGCACCCCTCCTATTTCTTTCAACAGCACAGATTTTGGCAGGGCTGGTGCCTGATGCAGCCAGACACGAGGCACTTTTGTGGCCTCCAGGATCCGCTTCTTGGAGAGCACTTCATAGTTTAAAAGCCAAGAATATTTAGTAGTTGAGAAGAGATATTGACAGCTTGGCCACATTCACTGGTGTGTGGTTTTCAGCAGCTCCTGATCACCTCATCCCCTTTCCACAAGTGACACAACGTATGGCCCCAAGCCCAAACCCCATGGGCAGACCTCAGGTGCTCAGAGCTGGTGCCTTCCTGGCTGCCCAAGAGGAAAGCAGCTCCCACCCTTGTTTCAAAGCACGTTGCCTCCTGTTGGACTGCTGAAAAATAGATTTCTCCACCAGCAGCAGCCACTCAGGCATTTCAGCCTGATGCATGTGGCAGCAGTGGTTTCATTTGGCAAAACTGCATCGTACGGTGGCATAGATACTCCTTGAGTGATCAGCTGCCATTCAGTGTGCCACAAACCTTCACGCTGATGCTGTGCAGCCCAGGAGATTGAGTGTGAGAATATGCAGGGGAGACAAGGATGGGAGCCAGCACCTCTGTGCTTTTCTGCAGCAGCTTTCAGAAAGCTGCTAGGAGTTCCTCAAGGTCTTGATTTTTCTAATTTAAAGGAAAGAATGCATAATGTGCCACCCCTATTTCAGAAAGAAGTGCTGTTACTTAGCCTGGCTAGTCAGTGGCCATGGACAAGTTGTGTTTTCAGCAAGATGTTGTTTCGTTTGTATTTTACAGAAAAAAAATTGCATTTTACCAGCCTGGCCTTAATGATAATTGCCCCCAGAGCTTTGGATGTTTATTTGGTTCAGTGTTTTATCATTTAGAGAGTAATTTGTGTGCTAATACGCATAATCCTCCAGTTCAGTTGCAAGATTTCATTTCTCCCATTGAGCTGCATTTGTAGGGTTCATTCTCTCATTCCTGGATGGGGTCTCATGAATGCAGGGCCAGTAACATTTCCTTGCCTGTTTGCAGCTCAGAAAGTCTTCAGCAAAAGCTATTGGGGTCAAAATGCTTTGTTTTGCTCAAAACACCAAAAGAATTTGAACTTGGAATGTCAGGGATAACACGGGAAACAAACTTTCCAAAAGTGGTTTGGAGGCAAGTTTTTTACAAAACATTTCTGAAACTGAAAGCATCTTACAGAAATAAAAACCGTGAAAGCACCACAGGCTCGTGATGTGTTTGCACTGACAGTTTCAAAATCTGGAGGAATAGGCAGGTTCTCTTTCCTGCTCTTGTGCTGATGTTAGGAAAAGGACTAGAAGCTGAAAGCACACAAAGCAAACTGGCCACTTGTTCACAGCTCTGGATGACCTAGATCATGGCTGTGCTTCTGAGTTTCCCCATGGAAGATGCACCCTTGCTACAAATCCAGCGGTGCTTATTTGTAGGGTTTTTTTGTTGCTATTGTTGTTTCCTCCAAGAGAACAGCAATATAGTGATGGAAGAAGAGGGCACAGTTTTGAACTAAAAGATGAGAGATTTAGATAAAATGTCGGGAAGTTTTTCACTGAGATGGCAGTGAGGCCCTGGCACAGCTGCCCAGAGAAGCTGTGAAGCCACATCCCTGGAGTGCTCAAAGCCATGTTGGATGGGGCCCTGGGCAGCTGAGCGGGGTGCAGCCCTGCCCACAGCTGGGGGCTGAGGCTGAGTGGGCTTTGAGATCCCCTCCAACTCAAACTGTTCTGTGATTCTATGATTTCCTGGACAATCCCCATTCAGCCTGACACAAGCAAACGAAGGCAGGAAGGAAGCTACCAAACCCACATATATCCCTACCACTGTATTTCACTCCCTGCCACACTGAAGTAAAAAATAAAGAAGTCAGAAATTTTATCACCATAGAAGCATTTTGGAAGAACTTTGTCCGAGCTCAAAACCAAACCAAGAGCATTTTCAGCATGGCAAGCATCCTTGGCTTCCAGAAAAAAAACATATATATATATATATGTATATATATATATATATATATATATATAGAATATATATATATGAGTGAATGGGCTAAAGAAATCACACAAACAGGTGGCAAGACACTGTATGGGGCTCAGTGTTTATGCAGTTGCTGTGGTCCTTACTTAGGCCTGCTTAAAATGAACCAAAATACCACTGGCTGCTTGTGGTTGGTATACGCTTACTGCCTTAGAGGTGGTGGAAATCCTCAGTTGTGCTCCAGTGATTTTTATCTGAGACAGTTGCTTAAATCTCCTCTCTACAGACCATGAGAGAATAACATTTTGGCCAAATAAAAACTAAAACCACATCATTTTGGTGTTTAGTTTTGACTTTTCTGGACATTGCAGAGTACAAAATGAAAAAAATCCTCGAGACAAACTGCTTCCCCCCCCCACAGACCCATGCAGTAACCCACCTTGATGTCTCTCCAAGCTTGCTTTAGCTGAACAGCCTCAAGATGCAAGAGGTAAAAGCATCTCACAATGCAGAAAGCTCCCACTGGAAAGGTCTGGCAGCCCCTCCCTTGTATACAACAGTTCAAATAGTGAGCTTGTGAAGGCCACAGCGACAGGTAACAACACTGTATTTATTGACTTGCCCATTGCCCTGATGTGTTTTCAGACCCCAGTTTCTTTCCAGGACTGCTCTGTTTCATAATAATCAAAAGTCAGCAGAGGTCTGTTTCCAGCATTCTATGGAGTTATGCAAAATGGAAAAGGAAAAAACTAAACAGCAACCATATACAGACTCTCCTTCTGCACCCCAGCCTGACTGCTGCTAAAGAAGGAGATAGTATCATTCTGTTAAAGAAGGACACAACATAATTCTAGCTGTCTTTCTGCCTTGAGGTACAGTTTTATTTTATAGAAAATATATTACCTCTACAGATTTCCACAAGCCCAGTCTCATTCCTATCTCCTGTTTCACCTTACAAAAAATGTTAATCTCTTGAGAGACCTGAAGCTCCTATGGAAATAAATGAGACAGTTAACTAAAGGTGGGTGCTCACTTTTCCCAGCCTCAGAGAGACTAGCGACTTACAGGGGATGAAGGGCACAGCTAAGGCAAGACTGACAGGCAGGCTATGGGCAAAGAGCTCTTCTCATGTCTGTTGGAGCTCCCAGTGCTGCACCAGGGCAGGTTCTCATGTTTGTAAGACCCAGAGATGGAAAACATGGACAGGAGACGGAAAACATAATCAAAGAAGCTCTATGATAACCATTACTGTCCTATCTAACTGATTCAATTAGCAGCTTGGATCTATCAAATGAAGTGCCTCTGAAATTTCACTGAATCTTAAGTTTTTCTTCATCTTAAATAGGAGTGACTCTGAGATTAATCACACTTAGAAAAAGAAGAAAAAAAAGATAAACAACAAACAAAACTTTCTTAACAAAGGCTCAAGATGCTGGTAATTAAGCTCACCCAATCTTCAGAACCAAACCTAACACCATGGACACAGCTGCCAGCGCATGGCCTCCAACACAGCTGGCCTGGATGAGGTGCTCTCCTTGAAAACCAGACATGCATCTATCATGCTATTCACTGATCTCTACAATACTTTCCCCATCTGGATAAACCAGTCCTGGGACATTATCTGCTTTGTCTGAAGTCATCAGCACCTTGATGAGTTTGTTCTGCTGGATACTAAGTACAAGCAAAAATGCCACTTTGGAGCAGTCATCTTTTTTCTATGAAAGCTGCAGAAATCTATTCCTTGGAAATCCAAGGAAAATGGTATTCCAGCCTGTTCCATTGCTCTGATCCCTGTGCTCTTGTTCTGCATGCTGATGAAGCACTTGTGAGTGACTTGTTGCCAGTATTATTGAGGTGGCTCCAGTATTGTGACCGAAAGCTACTGTTGTTATAGTTGATGTTTAAAGAAACATTGTGCCCACAAAAATTTAACAAGATTTTGAAAATGAAGTTATTTCTACTTATCTACTTGGATTAGAAACAAAGATACAGAACTAGTAAATCATTTTTTTGTTGATAATGAAACACCACGTAAACAGAACTAATTATTTAATTTGAAAACATCCTTAGTAATACGTTAAAATATTTGCATTTGAACTTTAAAAGCTTGGAAGCATTTCTGTGAGCTAGAGAAACTTTCAAACCTTCATCATCACTGAAGTAAGATCTATTAAAATTTAGCAGCCTTCAGTAGTTGCAGATGCACAGCACTGTGTCAACCTCTGATTTGTAATTTAAGGTTAAGGTTTAAAGATAAAGGGGAAGGGAAGAATGGCAGCAGTCCGCCCTTGTTTATCTTGTGTAAGCGATTCTGTCCTAGCCCAGACCGATGACTTTGTCCCCATACTGCTGTTTCGAAAGGGTAACTCCACATTGCATAATGTGCATTTTACTTTACCTCAAGTGATTGGGAGAAATATCATTCTGTCAGGGTTTTAAGCAAGAAAACTTCAGTACAAAGACACAGAGTTTTCCAGTCTTTTCATAGAGGCTGCTTTTCATACACTGAAGTGTGAAGCCATAATTCTGTTACCTGATTTTCCACTCTGTTTCTACAGCAGGAGCTGAGGTCGGTACTCTGCGCTGTCCTCTCCTGATGTAACAGCTAAGGTGATCCTGGCTGCCTTCTCAGGTCTCACAGCAGGAGGCTGAGACACACTGCAGAGCTGGAGGGGGAAAACAGAGAACATCACTACTCTCACTGAATAGTTGCAGGAAAAGCAAACAAACAAACAAAAAAGGTAAGCAGTCCAAAAGCAAAATCCGCACATGCAGTTTTTTCTCCATTGGTGCCATAATTTCAAAAGCCTTCAGATAATGTTATTGAGGTTTTAAACAATACGTCTGCCTTCGGCACCCTCTGAGCTGTGACTTGCAGCCACCAACGCCCCACTCTCGGCTTGACGTAAGCAGGCCTTAACAGGGCTCTGCCCACAGAGTCTGCCTCAGCATTTGGTTTCTGTACTTTTCCTAATCCTTGAGAAAAGAAAACTGGGACATCACAGTGCCAAGTGACATCCCACCTCCCAGCTGAAGCATATGGACCAAACACCTCCTGGTCTGCGACAGTTTGCCCACTTGAAATCCCTGCCACGCACCTATGATGTGCGGGGAGATTTGCAGAGAAACTGCAAACATGGCTGCAGTAGTTGGCTAATAGTGCCTGTAATCATCAAGCACAATTCCTTCTTTTTTTTTCTTTCCTTCTTTTCTTTTTTTTTTTTTTTAATATTTTTGAACCTCAATGTGAGAAGAAGTGCAAATTCCTTCAAAGTAGCATGGCATAAAAGCACAGGAACTCAACTGCTCGAGTATTTAGAACATGCATTTTGTATATATAGACCAGGAGGCAAGAGACTGGAGAGAGCCTTGTAAAAAGGGATGTGGGTGTTCTGGCAAGTTAAATATGAGCCAGCAGTGTGCCATGGCAGCCCAAAGGGCCAACTATGCCACGGGATGCCCCAGGCCCAGCACTGCCAGGGGGTGAGGGGAGGGGCTGTTCTCTGTGCTCTGTGCTGTGAGGCCTCACCTCCAGCACTGGGTTCTGGTTTGGGAGCCACACTGTAAGACAAAAAACTATTAGAGAGTGTCCAAAGGAGGGCTACGAAGATGGTAAGGAGTCTGGAGGGCAAGGTGTGTGAGGAGCTACTGAGAAGCCTGGGTTTGCTCAGCCCAGTGCAGAGGAGCTGAGGGGAGGCCTGATGGCGCCTGCAGCTCCTCACAGGGAGCAGAAGGCAGCGCTGAGCTCTGCTCTGTGTGACAGCGACAGGGCCCGAGGGAGCTTTTGCACCGCACCTCAGCTACCGGCGTGACAAGGCAGCATCACAGGCATCAGTAAAGCCAAATCCGGGTTACAGATCCATCCGGCGGCTCCAGAAGGGAGGGCAGAGCAGAAGGGGCTCAGCACAGGCCAGCAGCGCAGCACAAACGCAGGAAACTCAGCAGGTTGCACATCCTGCTCCACAGCATCACTGCCGCTATTCTTAGCCTCGCTGGCTGGTGTGAGGAAAAGGCTGGGGGGCACGTGAAGGCGGCAATGAGAAACAGTGTGTGTGAGGTGGGGGATTGCAGTTCGGTGTGAGCGCTATTTTAAAGGCTGTGTTGTTATGCTAAAAAAAAAAAAAAAAAAAAAAAAAAAAAAAAAAAAAAAAAAAAAAACCCTAAGCATCCTACCGAAAAAGCTATCTGTGACAGCTAACCCAAGTTTCAGTGGTGAGGGCTTCAGGTGGGTGTGGGACAGACAGGGTTGGGGTGCAGGCTCCTTCTGCAGCTGCTTGCAGCCAGACGTTCCCACAGCACATCACCTCTGCAGCACACAAAGGGGCTGTTCTGGGAGAATGTGGTGTGGGAACAGCATGGGTGAAGGAAGACACTTCTAAAAGCTCACGCCATAGGCCTGAGGCTTCTCCTATCCAGTGAATTAAAAATTCACATATTAGCATGAGAAGGGAGGATGTTCCTACCAAGGACAAATTGCATTTCATGATGGGGTAGAAATAGCTTTGGGAAATGGTTGAATTCATACTCAACTGCAGTGCTTACAGTACAACCAAACACATCTTCCTGTGTGTATAACTAACAACAGAACCACTTCTCCCTCTTGAAGCAAAGAAGAGCTCCAAAGTTGAACTACAAGCTCCAAAACAAATGCATCACTGCAAGCCCATGAACAGCTCCAGGCAGGTCCTAATTGCAATCCTGCCCCCTCCATATTATTGCTGGCAGCTGCATCTTGTGCAGCCAGTACTTTCCTCTCAATGTATTTGAGAAGCTGCAGTGCTTCCAGATTGAAAGAAATGAAGCTGAAAAACAACTAAGCACCTTCCAAAGTCTATGTTCCAAAGTCTTGGAAATCAAATAAAGTGAGATAGACATCTATTAGCAATCCTACCTTACTGACCTAAACACTAGATATTTAACCACTGCCAGCTAATAGGTCAGCATTTTTTGGTAATTCTTTTCAAAGGCTAAAAAAGTGCATTTTGCGTACATGCAATTAATTCTCCACGTGGCATCAGCAGCTATTCTTTTAATTGCACCTGGCAGTGGAGTTGGAGGGCATCACTTTACAGCCCACTTATTAACTCTTGCTCCACTCGTGCACTTTGTACTTGTTCCCAAGATTCTCAGCAGCCGTGAAAGTGCCTTTCTGCTTGTCAGATGTCTTCTAAGGGACTGGCTTAAGAAAGAAATCCCAACTAACAGTTCTTGACATTCAAAAGCTCCATTTATTTTCTCAAGACTTTAATACTTTAAAAAAAAAATTTGCATTTATTTTCAAAGAAGCCCAAAAGAAATTTCAGCAATGAAATCTGGTTATGCCAATTATATTCTAGCACTGCTCAGAAACAAGATCCAGGACATAGGGAAAAAAAAAAAAAAAAAAGCCAAATGAATCCCATGTGCTTTTTGGAGACATAGATAAAACTTACTTTTTCAGTATTGTGGTTTTGCTCTTCAACTATTTAGGTAACACTGTGAATGCAAAAAAATACAGACAGGAGCCTGCTAAAACCTGCTACTGTACTTCAGAGGCAGTTAACCACACAGAGCAAAGGTTACAAGGGATAATCAGACCGCCTGTTATCAGCAAAGCTACATTTGATTTGGAAAACTGTCAAGACTGCCTCTAGCTCAGGCACATGGAGCATCCACCTCTTTCCGTGTTGCAGAGAAAAAGCCAAAATTAATACAGAGCTAAACAACTTACATACATATCCAAAAAGGGAGTAGTTGATGCCATGCTATGGAACTAAAATAGGCAGAGCATGTTTAAATGCTTTTAAAAATAGTTAGCAGTATTCCCCATTCCCCCCGTGTGGAACTCAGAACATCCAGCCTCTCTGTCCCCCACTCTCTCCATAGCTGAAGAGATTAGGGAGTGCAAGCAGAGCAGGGGGCAGGGGCAGGGGAATGGCAGGAATCTTTATCCCTCTGCCTCAAACTCTACCAGTCAGTGTTTAATAAACTCGGGCAGCCCCATTTCAGAAGCACAAAGCAACATCCGTTCAGCTAAATTTGTTAGCAAGCCTGAGGACACTCGTCAGGTTTTTCTTTCTTTTTGGAGAGTGGAAAAAATAAATAAGCCCTGGGATAAGCTCTGGAAATTGCAACAAATTCATTTCTGCAGCACACTGAGAATCACAACGCTACCAATTGTAAAACAGCCCAAAAATACGAGTACTTGCAGTTCTCCAGGAGGCAGGCTGCACTGGCAGGAGCTCTGGGCTCGCTCCTGCAAGTAATTCCTTGCATGCAAGTAGCTACTCGTCAGCCCGATGAAACTATTCTTGAACACAGAAATTTACAGGACTGAGCCCTTGCCATGACTTTCAGGGAGTCACAAGTTGGAGCTAGTTTTGCTTTTTACATAAGTATGTGTCTGTCTATACTGAACTCCACAGGGCAGCAATAAAGGATACTACCAAAAGCCTACAGAAGATGCTGAAAGCAAGCAGCTAAATTATTACAAGGAGCTCCACATAAGCAATCTGCTCCACTAAAGTAGCCTGTGCAAAGCAATACTGTGACCAGCCCCCAAGGATCTGCATCACCCCTGCATCTCAGCACCGGTATGGGCTAAGTGATAATTCCAAACAGTGTGTTTCTGGATGAGACGTACTAAACAGAAAATATTTCAACCAGCGGTGTTTGGCACATCTCTAACATTTAATCAGAAGCATAAACAATCTAGACACTGAAATACAAACTTATTTTTCCTTAAAATCAGTGTTCCATAGCTGTTTTTTTTTAATTATTATTTAAAAAATTCAGGAATGTGATACACAATACAATTAGCTCCCCACCACTGCAGTGCTCACTTACAGGAGATTCACTAGTTTTGTGCTTTGCGGGAAAAAAAAGGACAGACTGTGCAGTGTCTTTGAAGGCTCTCGGTATTCTGGAACTATGATTTTCAGAATAAATCTGGTCTGAGTAACCACAGGCAGGTCAGCTGTCTTGTTGGGTCTAACACAGCCAGAATAAGCACAAAAACAGTGTTCGTGCTGCAGTATGGCCACCTGGCCAGCCTTGTACTTCCAGGGAAGGAATCAAGCTAAAGAGATTGAAGGGCCCCGTTCCCAGCAGCTGGTGCTGAACACGCAACATGCCACAGGACAAAGAGGCTGCGCAGCTCCCTGTGCCCCCTGTCAGCATCAGCATCTTCAGCATCACATTCATGTCCTGTCCTGGTAATAAAAATAATGTGGAGGAGAGCTTTGTGTCTTTTAAGCTAGCCATTGCCTGCAATGGACACAGTAATAGAAAAATATGACTTCTGGCACAAAAAGATTAAATAGTTACAGTGGAATTAGTGACCACAATTTCATCTATTTGGGTGCATTTACTGAAACTGTTAACCAATGGTGGCAACGGGCGTGACTTAAGCGTTGCTCTCTTTTTATAAAAGCAATAGGAGAGATGTTGGACTTGTCAGGGCTACTATAGTCCCTCTGCATGCTTTTTTTGGTGTTTTTCTTTTTTAAAATAAATCTAAGAGCAGTAGTTCTACAGTGCATTAGTGATACACAGCAGGACCTCAATAATTCATACTAATGACTGAGACCAATTTTAAACTAGCAAGCAAAATAATTACTAAAAGTTTACCATAGAAAGCAAGAATACACATTTCAAAAAAAAAAAAAAAAAAAAAAAATAAAAAAAGCACTTTGTTCATTTCAAAATTTACTTGGATAATACTTTGTAGTATACTAGCAGTAGTAGCATATTTTGCAAACGTAGTCTCATACAAGATCTCATAACAGTCAACTCTAGATCATATACAGGTAACACGAGAAAGAATTAAGCTAATTCAGACAGAACAAAACCATATATAAATACTATATTAACATATTTAAGTTAGTTCATCAAACTATACAAGCAGAAACACAGAGCACGCTCAGTGATGCTGGGAAGCACCACTGCCCCGAGCTGGGCTAAGCCCCGCTACTTCTCCCGTGCATTGACACGTGGCACCACACCGGCATTCGCTACAGCTAGCCTGGCCATGCAGACTGCACAGCCAGCACACAACACTGGTCATCCACCCATGGATAATCGAGAGTTGACTGCAATGCTCCACTGAGAGGTTGGGTAAGACTACTGACACAACCCAGGACTGATGAGCAGCAGACTATTCCAAACTACTTATGAGCAATTAGCATACAAGATGCGTATTGGAAATGCAAACTAGCAAAGTGTTCTGTATCTGGAGGCAAAGCTACATTCCCTTCACTAACAAAACATTCTTTTAAAAAATCTATACTTAAATACTGTTGAAAACCTGAAAACCATAGCATCAAAGAATTTTGTAAGGCCAAAACTATCCTCGGTTCCCTCTGTTGTGCCTGGGTATTGTAATACATTTGAAGGAGCAAACACTAACGCAGTTTAGTATCCCACACTCCTTCCAGTGCCTTCCAGTAACAGATCTCAGAGTTCATCACGCAAGAGTTGAGCCTCACAACACCCCTGTGAGGTAGGTATTATTCCCATGTTAAGACAGGGAAACCGAGGCAGAGTGTTTATCCGACATGCCCAGAGTCATACAGCAAACAATGGAAGATGTGAGCGGCTTTCCAGTTTGGAGCACAGGAGCAGTCGATTAATGACCAGGCATTATTCCCCATACACAACTCACAGGTGGATCAAGAGGGTCAGGGTTTTAGACTAGATTCCTTTTATCTTCAACTCTCACCTAGTCTCCGCCAGATTCAGAGTCCACAGATCAGCTTCTCCTGTGAAGGTGTAAGTTTGGCAGCACACTGTAACAGCTTCTTTACAGCCAGCTGTCAATTAACTGATTTAACATTCAAAAGCAAAGAATCAGATACTCCTTAACTGAAATTATGTGATACACATCTTACAAAATAAAGTACAGTGAATGAAATCCTGCTCCCCCCGTACACTTTAGCAGAAACCAGATGGACACTCCCAAGGATGCTGCAGAGACCAGGAGCACAGCCACTGCAAGTGCTTGCAGACAGACTTAACTACACGCAAAATGCCTCACTGGATTACTGTTCATGGAGGCTATGCCAAAGCTTTTGAAAAGCATTGGTTTTACTGTCAGAGCTTGACAAACTTCCCCCTGACAGAGCTCTTACTGACACAACTAAATTCTTTTATTAGTAAACTCAGCATCAGTTAAAGCTGAAGCTCCAGCTCTTCATTCATGGCAGAGTCAAGGCTTCCTTAAGCTCAAAGACTTCTATGATGATACGCAACTTGGAAATAATGAAAAACACCAGAAAATCTGTAACATATTAAAGTAGGCATTACTTTATCTGCCATTCTCACATCCTGATCACACACAATATACAGTAGCTTGAACTTTCATTTTGAGCAAAAAAAAAAACAAAACCAAAACCCTTTCACATCTGATATTTTCACAGGTCGTTGATTTTAATTACCTCACTATCTTACCAGAAAAGATGGGGATGTTCTCACAATCACTTGACGTCTCCTTAAAAATATGCTATGTGATATATTTGTAAGAAAAACCTTCACATTTTTTATTACATAAGATTAAGAAAAATACGTGAAACTGACAAAGTGGTTTCCAGTTTTAAGTAGTTATATCTTTAAAAATGTTCTATCAACTTTGGTTTCCTTAGGGCTTCTAAATAAACAATATATTAAAATATCTACAAATCAAATATTAAAGGAAAAAGCAGGTCCAAGAGATCTGTAACACAAATTGAGTTCCTATATGCTTATCCCTCAAGTATCTTTTAATTGAAAAAAAAAAATAATAATAATAATAATTTGAAGCACAACAAAAAGTGTCTCAGCTGAAATGTTGAAACTGTTTTTCTGAAGTTGTTACAGCATCGGTGCACTTTCTGTCTCACTAGGAAGTCAACAGAAACGTTGTATGACAGTGACATGTTCTTTAGAACAAGCATTCTAGATTTAGCAATATGACAAGAACAAGGACCTCAGCAATTACACTAATTGGCAAAATGCATCTCAAACATCTGTCTCTTCCCCTTGCAACACAGCTGTTGTCAAAGTCACCAAAACTCAGGTAGCACCATTCAGGGAGTTACAAAGATGATTCAAACTGCTCGTTTTGATCGGTGTTTGCCTCTAGCTTAACCGCAGGTACACTCTCCGATTTAGTCCTTCTAGTTTTGTTGTGTGGAAATTCAATGACAACCTCTGAACAAGAAATACTAAGCGAAGAAGATTTTTCTGTCTTCTTTCCAGTATTATCTTCTATCGTTCCACAACATTGCTTCAAAGCACACTGAGTTCTGCAAGGAAACTCGCATTTCCCTCTCCCTGATTCAGAGCCAACACTGGCAAACTCGGGCTGGATGGTAGTTGCATGAATCCCTTCATCATGAAAGATCTCTTTTATGCGCTTTGCCACCATCATGTACGTGGAAGGGTCAGGACACTTTATGTGAGCCGTGCCAATGATCCTACTGCCTGCTAGCTGCCAAATGTGTAATTCATGCACCGCTTCAACTCCTTCAAGGGTACGTAATTTTGAGTTCAAAGAATGAACATCTATTTGTTTGGGAACAGTCTGCAGAAGTATAAGGGCCGACTCCCTAAGCAACGGGTAAGTTGTGTAAAGGAGGATACAAACCATAATCAAACAAAGAACAGGGTCTAAATATAGTAACCAGCATGGACCAGCCACCGTAATGCTCTCTTGCTCAGACTTGTTTACACTGCCAAGAGGTTGGGATAAAGTAGCATTCTCCACACAATGGCTATTGACACACGGATTAAAGCAGGGCCCATCTTTGGGGCATGGATTCCACAAACCATAAAAGAGCAAGGCATTCACTACGACAATTACTGAACCTAAGGCATCTCCAAAAACATGCAGAAAAACTCCACGCATGTTAAGCTGCGCGCTAGAGTCTTCCTCAACCTCTTCAACATCCAGAGGATAATGCCCAGCGTTCCCATTCACTTGTAGGTCAGTCGTGTCGTCCTTCATATCACCTGACAAGAAAACAGTAGAGCCATTAGGCACATGCTAATACACATTACTACAATTCCATATAAAATTATTATCAACATTAAGCCTGCCTCATGCAGTACAAAACTGAAAAACAAGCAACTTGGCCCCTCGCGCTTCTATTTTACCAAAAATCCACTTCCACCTTTTCCAGCTGCTTAACCATTAGCAACTTACTCTTCATTTCTCATGCAAAATGAAGAATTGTGGAGCATATACTTAAAGGTTGCTTAAGTAGCTATGTAATTTATATTTGCTTCCTCTTGTCCAGATAATCACATTGCTAAAACCTCTCTAGCACGATAGCAGTGAAGTTCTATTTAATATTACATCTTACAAAATTAAAAGCTCACAAGCAGCTTGGATGCTACTTTATAGACGTTTATTTTCAGGTTGAGCAGCTCATTTCCAAAAGACCTCTGAAATCAAATAGGAGGAATCATTGCTGAGATGCCAGCAGAACTGTGAGATACAGTGAGCTGAGCTTTGGAGGTCTAACAGGCAGAATTTGTCAGCAGCATTGACAACAGGACAGTATAAGTTATCACTTCAGTTCTCAGAGGCTATGAATTTGTGTTGTTTGTATTCCAGAATATATACAAACTTATTTTTAGTACTTTTGTTGCTTTTCAAGTAACACATTGCTGTTGAGTGGCATACAGCTGTTGATGCCCAAAGCCATGTATTATGAATCACATAATTCGTAAAAGAACATTTTAGTACCCTCCCTTATCAAAATGGGTTCCATCACACCCAACAAGCTATGCAAGAACAAATGCACACACCATTATAAAGAGGCAGAGTGAAGTTTTTGAAATAAATCATTTTCCAAACTTCAACATTGGAATTATTTTACAAGATTAACTTTTTATGCTTCTTCAGAAGATCTTTGGACAGACAACTTACAGTGTTAAAGAAATGTAACTGGCACTGGCCACTGGCCAGTAAAACAAGAAGCTCTCACTGCTTCTACAGTTATTGAGTTCAGAACTTTGTAAACATTAATGTGTTAACATGACCTGCAGCTTTTGTAATTCTGCTCTCATGACTGTAATTCTGTGATCACAAAAGTGTCTCCAAGGCCTTTCCTCTCCCAAAACGGAGGCAGGCACACACTGAGGTGGCTGAGAGGTAGGTCAGTCCCAAGCCCATGGCTCATCACACTGGGCATCACACTTCTGCCCTAAAGCTCCAGCTACATTTTCCACACAGTTTCTAGAGTCATGGAACAAGGAAATGTCACTGGGGCCAATAATCTTCCAGAGAAATGAGTGAGTTAGAGGAAAATATCTTGAGTTACAGAGTTCAGACTTCAGGGTTCACAATGAGGGCACAGAAAGAGGACGCCTTCTGATCCTGCTCCATACCAAGAGTTTGGGACAAAGGGGGATTTGGAGAGTCAGTGGATAGGGGTGGATAGCAAGAAGCAAGGTTCCGAAAGCTCTGAGTCTTTTCAATGGTTAAAATGTCTCAATTTGAATTTTGACTCATTTAAACCCAACTATAAACAGATTACTTTACACAAAATGTATGCACAAAGATGCCTGTGCAGGACTAACCCCTGAGGCTATTGTGAGGATTTCTCTTCATCCTCAGGAGAAGAGAGCCTACCCTTCTTCACAATTCCCTGCTGAGGTACAGCACCAATTTCAGTCATTTCCCATTTTCACTTGTACACCTTACAGCTTCTTACAAGTCTTCATGCACCTTTACCTGTGACACTTCCATGGGTCAACAACAAATAACTCCATCCTTACATAATCATGACATGGCAGAGAAGGAAAGGCAAACTTCCTTGAAAGTTGCACCATGCCCAAAATTATGCTCTGCTACTTACTAAATGCCCACAGCAAATTATTTGCTTCTGCTGGAAGGACACCCACAAGGTGTTCCACACAAGTTACCCAAAAACAGCATACATTTTAATCCACAAGAGAAGCCAATCTTTTAGCTTACAACTAGACAGGAATTTAGCTGAAGGCACAACTTACATTCCAACAGGCAAGAACAATTCAAAGGCCAAGGTATCAATTAGATCAATGGCTAACTGAATTTTACACTGTTTGAAACTACTTATTAGGATACTTTTGTTGGGACTAACACAACATTAAGAGCTTATTTTATTTTGTGGTTAAGAAAGGAGTGCAATACACTCAGAGGACTTTCAATCTTTTCAAAAGCAACAGGGAGTCAAAACACTAAAGAAACTAAAGAGAAAAAGAGGAACTCCAGGTTTCTCAGATGTCCATGAGAACTTCTAACCACTGAAATACTGAAACTGTAGCAAAGTTCACTCCACAGAGGAAAGAGCAACCTAAGCTAATTCAGCAGTGTCTCCTAATATTGCCCTGAGAAGAAAGGAGATACGTGGATCAGAGGACTGAGAAAAAAAGGAGATGTGGGTCCAAGGACTGACACTCTTTCTTTCCTGCTGCAGGGATGCAGTAAGAGTGAAGCGGATAAGCAGCAAACATGCAACTTCCACTGACACACAGTATTCAGCTTAGACCAAATGACTTCAAAACAAGTCACCCAGGCATCTGAATCCACTGAAAAAACAACCCAAGACATTCCCTCCCACAAAAAAAGACAGCATAGTCAGAATTAGGGAGAGAAGATCTTAACAAACAAGTGAATGAGAAACTTCATTCTTTGGAAAGCTCAAGAAAGCTAACTTGAAATCACACGTGCGCTGCGAAACCAGCAAGCTCTGCATTCAGTGCCTTCTGCATGACTTCCTCAACACCAACTGGTAACCTCCAAGATTTCTTCCTATACACGCCTCGAAGAAGCACCGCATTACTGCAATGGAATTTACTTCGGTACGCTGCGTCCAGCGGGAAAAAAATCACTCAGGTAGATGACAACTAAAGCAACAGAGAGATCCGGCTGTCAGGACCAAGGCGCTGAGCTGCAGTTTGATGCACAGCCAGTTCAGCCGCCAAGGCACTGCCTTGTGACAGGCGAACACCGCTTGTCACGCGCCTCCTCTGCCAGCACCAACTTTTCCCAAGACCCCAAGCTTCACCCCGAGCTGCCTGCGAGAGAAAGGCGCGTCCCAAGGCTCTGCTTTTAGCACCCGGACAAGAGGTTTGAGGCGGAGGTGCCGCCCGCCCCGCTAGCAGCTTTCCCGCCGCTTCCCTCAGTACGGACGGGCGGCCCGCGGAGCTCGTGCCACCGCCGTCCTCGAGGACGGGACCTGAGGCGCTCTGCCGCGACGGGCACGAGGCGCGCGGGGCTTACCCAGCTTCTCCTGGCTGACCCCATTGGAGCCGCTGCAGTTCTCCACCAAGGTGCTGGTCTCCTCGCGGTGCAGCGCGGCCTCCCCGTCCCCGGGGCTTTGCTCGGCCTTGGCGCTGCCCCGGGGGAGCCGGGCGCCACCCCCGTGCGCGTGGCCGTGGGAATGGCCGTGTCCGCCGACGCCGTGGTGGTTGAAGAGGCAGAGCCCCAGCAGGTTGATGACGAGCCCCGCCACCCCCACGGCGATGACCACCAGCGGCTGCTGGATCTCGTGGGGCTCGGTGAAGCGCTCGATGGCCTCCAGCAGGATGGTGAAGCAGAGGGCGGTGAGGAAGACGGCGTTGACCAGGGCGCCCATCACCTCGGCGCGCACCCAGCCGAAGGTGTTCTTCTTGGTGGCGCGGGTGCGCTGGGCGAAGCGCACGGCCACCAGCGCCACGACCAGGGCCATGACATCGGAGAGCATGTGGAAGGAGTCGGACAGCATGGCCAGCGACGACGTGACGCGGCTCACCACCACCTCCACCACGAAGAAGAGGAAGGTAAGCGCCAGCATGCATAGCAGCCGCGCCCGCCGGTTCTGCCACCACCGCGGCCCGCCCGGCCCCTCGGCCGCCATCCCCCCGCAAAATGCGCCGGGGCGAGCGCCGGCGG